GGTGAGATGCTTGCTATTGAGAGTTTTTAGGAAGTGAGGTGATAACAATAAGATCTGAATTCTGGTCCAGGGAGGAGATGACTGAGGTAGAAAGGACAAGATACTGGAGGAAAAGAGGACAAGAGAGAGAGAGGTTGGGCATTGTATGCAATGGGCTGAATTGTCTAGACAAAGGCAGTGATGGGGAAGCTAGGTGCTCAGATCTTCAGTGAATAAGGGCGTGCCTAAGACAAGATGGATAACAACAGCTATAAGGGGCAGCGGGTGGTACAATCTGAGGGCTTGGACTTGCCAGGAGCTGAGTTTTTTGACATGTAGTGATATGTTTTACATTTTATCTTATATGATACTTCATATATTTTAATAGACCATATTTCATATATAGTATAGTTATATATTTGATAAAAATACAAATATTATATACCTACAATATATGTACATAACTGTGTATGTATTTATATCTATAGTGGGATCCACAGTGAGCATGAGATCAAAGCAAAGCTAGTCTTAACAGAAATATCATCTCAGCCATGAAAACTCCTGGCGAACCATCCCTGCCCTAGTCACTACTTAAGGGGTGATGAGAGGAAATTGACCAGGATGTCAGAATTTGGGAAAGAATGGAGTTTCAAGAAGGAGAGACTGCCAACAGTGCGGTGTTCAACAGTGTGGTCAGATAAGATAAGGTCTAAAAAGTGTTCTACATTTAACAATGGGGGAAAGCCACTGACAACACTTGCCAGGGACGTTTCATCAGCGAGGTGGAGACAGAGGCAAGGGTGGAGACAGCAATCACTGCTTAGTCTTTAAGAAAAGTCACTCGAGAAAGAGAAACTACAAGCAGTAGCAGAGGGTACTGCTGAAGTAACTGCTGGGAGGAAGGGAGAGGGTTTACCAAGTAGAGTGAGCAGCCCAGAGGCCAAGTTAAGTGAACTAGAGACAAGTGATTTGTAATGTCACCAGTCTAATCAGTTGAATAATTTTCTCCAGGAGCGTTCAAACATTGTCATGAGAACAGATATGTAGATCAAAAGTAGATTGTTCTTGGAATGAAATCTGCACAAAAGGGCAAGTTTACAGAAGTTTCTTACAAAGGAATAATTGAAAAAATATACTATTGCTGCACTATCCAACATGATAACCACTAGCCACATGTGGCTATTTAAGTTTAAATTAGCTAAAATTAAGTAAAATGAAAATTAAGTATCTTAGTTATACCCCCTACCTACTAAGAGACTGCTTTATAAGGTATAAAGAGCACTGCATTATAAGGTATAGACTGGATAGAGCTGAAGTCATGAGGAAGTTCAGAAACAGATGAAGGTAATCAAGAGCAAATCTTGGAAGATGATATCTTGCAGACAGAGATTGGTACATTGAGGCTTAAGATTCTAGGGACAGAGATGTTCTTAGCAATAAGATTTAGGATTATGCCATGGGAAAGGAGTTGCTGAAATAGCCTGTGGATGAAGATCTTTCAAGTGGCAAAGATCAAAGAACATGGAGTCATGGTTGCTGGTAAACTTATCCATGCCAAAGCCACCTTTGATATTTGATAGGAATAATTGATTGAAAAGGAAGACCTTGCATCTAATGCCAAAAATCTTCAGTGAGTAAGGAAGTAGTGACAAATGATTAGTAGCTAACAGCAGTGAAAGAGAAGAATACCTTAAAGAGGGGAGAGTGTTACTAAAGGTCCCTGTAAAGTGTCATAAAACAAGCAGTGGCTGGGGGCAAAAGCACAACCTTATGGGAAACATTTGATGAAGAGGTTGAAGACATAAAAGAGTTTATTACAATGGACTGACACTGGCAGGGCTTTGGAGGAAGTTTAGTAAAAGAAGGGAAATTCATGAGTACAGATAAGCATAGTAATATGAGAAGTAGATGACCTAGAATACATAAGATATGCATTTGGGTAGTAGCTGGGGAAAACTGAAGTCCTGGGTGGGGTCAGAGACCTCACAAGTTTAGATGACTATAGTTTCTGTGTGAAAGCCAAACAGTATCTTGGTGATAAAGTCCTCAGCTGATAAAGTGGACTTTATCAGCAATGTCCTCCTGATAAAGACATTGGAGGTGTCTAAATGGATTCTTGAGTGACCATCTCCTAACATATTTATATGCTAAGTGCTAAGTCACTCAAGTCATGTCTGACTCTTTGCGACTCTATGGACTGTAGCCCACCAGGATCCTCTGTCTAGGGGATTTTTCAGGCAAGGAAACTGGAATGGGTTGCCATTTCCCTTCCAGAGGATCTTCCTGATCCAGGGATCCTTTATGTCTCCAGCACTGTCAGGTGGGTTCTTTACCACTAGCACCACCTGGGAAGCCTGTTATAACTAGACCCAGACCGTTTCTATGACTCAAGTGCCAGGGAAGAGAGAGAATCTCAATGTTTAATCTCCAGGGGAGCCCAGTGAATATAGTAGCTGGGTGGCCTTAAATTTAGGGTCATAACAGAGGAAGCCTGAAGCCACTTAGAGAGAGCAGACTTTGAGCTAAATCTTCCCTATATCGTCAGAGAAGTGATTAGCATGCATATATCTGAGTGGTTGGTGGGGAACTATGGAGTCTAAGTTATGAAATACTTTCAGTTCCACTCAAAAGGAACTTCAGAGTGATTTCCACTCCAGGGTGTAGAGAGAAGGTTTGGGGAGGGATGGGTGGAAACAGATATTTCCTATTTCATCATCACTCTTTTCCACTGTAGACAGAGATAGAAATACTCTACTGCAGCTTTTCAAACTGGAGTTCTAATTAAAAATGCAGATTCTGACTCAGAAGGTCTGGAGTAGGGCTAGAGATACTGCATTTCTGACAGCCCCTGAGTGACGCTGATGCCTTTAAAACACAGATCACACTTTCGGTTGTTAGATGAGAGGGGAGCGGTTGGATGGGTGGAAGAAAAATTCCTTCTTATCTTTGAGAGAGGGAGCCTGGGTCATGGATCCGTCTGTCGGTGGAGAAAGCAGGCAGACAGGAGAAGAGGTACTGTGAGGCTGTGTAGAGATGCAACCCTAAATCAGGGAGACAGAAGAAGCCAAAGGCAAAGTAATTTCTAGGCTAGAGGCACAACTGACTGCTGAATAATAATATACCGTGTCAGTTAACTGACAGAATTTTCAACTATGTATTTGGTTTCTCTACTAGGTCATCTGCTCTATATCATATGGCAAATTTGTGATAAAACCAGCATGAGTTTCCCCAGAGATAGTTGCTAGAAGCTTTTACAGCAGGTGGCACCCTTAGATTATCATTCAGAGTTTAGCAAAGGAACAACATTATCCCAGGAGTGCCTGGTAAGGTGGTTACTGAACACAGAAAGTTGTCTTTAAGTCCCCCTTTCACTGTTCCAAGTATCCAGGTAGATTTTCCCACCTCTCTCCACTATGGAAATACATGCTGTACAGAGACTGTACTTTATACTTTCAAGGGCTTCACAGTGTTCTAGCAAGTATAACGCAACAAGCAGTGATTCAAACTTGTGCTGACTCTCAGTGATGCCTGGAGTCCCTTCCCATAGAGTTCAAGACCACCCCAATCCCCTCCTTGCTTATCCATTCTCACTGGGCTACGCTGTACCCACTTCAGTTTTGCCAAGTGCATATCACTAATATTTCTCTTTTAGAAAGAAAAACCCATTTCTCTTAAGAAGAGAAACCCATTGATCATATCAATTTAAGTTCTCCTACCACCACCCAAGAACACCTCAAGTAACATCTCTCATCTCCCTCGCCAACCTACCTCTCCTTTCCTCTTTAATGTCAACATCCCTTTACTGAAGTCTGGAATGATGAAGCTTAATTAGAACCCATCCTAATTCCCTTCCCAAAGTGGCATCTAACTTCATGTTAACTAAGAAACAGCATTTCATCACCTAACCCTGTACTTCTCACTCACCACAACTTAATTTCTTGGCAAGTTTCAAGTAATTCTGTGATCCAGAATGAATCCTACAAAACCCTATAATCCATCGCATTTAAGGAGTTATGTGGCCCAAATATAAACCCCAATATGCCCTCAGGAATGAAAACCTTTCTCTGAACTCTCCCAGAACATTCTCTAGGGTTTGAAAAAGTTTCCGAAAGCAAATGCATGCATGCTGAGGAGAGCAAGTCTGTGGTACCTGGGGATTCCCCAATACTCCAAAAGTACATCCTCACCTTCCCACTTGTGATTCATTTCCAGCATTTCATTCATGTATTAAAATGGTCTTTGACCACCACAATCCCAAAACAACCATCATATTTGCCCAGTTCTCTTTCTGATCTCTGAAAGAGCTTAGATAGGTTACAGAATAGAGGCCTTGGTTGACCATTTGTGTCATTTCCAAACTGTTTTATATCCTTGAAAGAGCTGGCTGTGGGAGAAGCAGTCGTGAGGAAAGCTCTATAAAGGGAACTATTTGAATTTTAAAGATGTTATTCACTGTGGTTCCCAGCTACAAGACATAATGAAAGGAAGGATATCACATTTGTTACCATGGTCAGAAATCTTTTCTCCATAGCGGGTCAAGGAACTAGGGAATAGGGAAGGGAGGGGGAAACTTTCAGTCATGGTAAAGCAGTACTGGAGCCTATGACAGCTACGGTGGAAAGAATTAATATTCAGATTATAGGAAGGTAACCAGTGGGTGAAAGAGTTATATAACTCTGCTGGCTTTTCCTGTTCTGGCATTTAAATTCACAGAACCACAGTACTGGAAGAAATGTTAGAATGTTTAGTCCACCCATTCATTAAACAGATAAGAAAACCAAGCTGCACAGGAGTTGCAGTTTGCACAAAGCCAACCAGTTAGCCGTAGAATGAGAACAAAAACCCCTTCCTTTCTCCACATACCAGTGTGTATGCACTGTTCCAGAGTTTAATATCTTCTTCTTCAAGATCATTACTAAGAAGATAGCAACTGGGTATTGTGTAAAGAGAAATGGAGTTTCTGAGGTTTTTATTTTTCCCTCTTGTTTCTCCTTCCCCAGTTTCCACCATTCCTTTTTCAGGTGCTGCTTCCTTGAAAAGTCATGCCTTCTTCAACGAGACTGGAGAACTGCCATGCCACTTTCCAAACACTCAAAACCTCAGCCTGGACGAACTGGTGATATTTTGGCAGGATCAGAATAAGTTGGTTCTCTATGAGCTATTCAAAGGCCAAGAGAAGCCAAATAATGTTCATCCCAAGTATATAGGCCGCACAAGCTTTGACCAGGACAGTTGGACCTTGCGACTCCACAACGTTCAAATCAAAGACACAGGCTCGTATCAATGTTTCATCCATCATAAAAGGTCCCAAGGACTGATTTCCATCCACCAGATGAGTTCTGACCTGATAGTGTTGGGTATGTAGTCAATGGTGTGTTCAGATCCCAGGCCTTCTCAGATAAGACTGCAATAGGTGGGGAAGGGGGGTACCTCGAGAGAGAGGCAGAGGACAGCCAAGTCTAGGAAGTCCGCCTGAGGGGAATGCAGGGCTTGGGAGTAGGGAACTAAAAATCCTTTGTACTATTTATGGCTTACTTCTGAAGGATCTGTAAGAATCTGCTCTGGGGACCAGCTAGAGCTAACTAAGCCAAGGTAATGCAGCTAAGTGAAAACCATGGGTGATTTGGACATTATTAAGTTTATATGAACCGTACAGGTCTCTAATCTCTTTTACATCCTTTTTTTTCTTTTAGTCCAAGATTTCTCACCCACTAAATCTTTGCCTGGAGTTCTTTGCAAGGGTGACAGCTGGATAATTGGGGATTTCCCTTCAGTCTCCTGCAAGTTGCTTACAACTTGCTTGTTGCCCAATCATGAGCCCAGAAGACAGGAGGGAAATAACCCAAGGAACACAATCCAAAAGCTGACAAACCAGCTCCTCTATTTTTCCAGGCCTTGAAAAAACCTAAATGACACTACAGATTTTCTTTTATTAAAATACAATAAAAGTAATCATTTTTATCTGGGTGTATAGTTCTATTAATTTGAACTTAGGTACAGATGTATGTAACCAGCAACACAAAGAAAGTGAAAGTGTTAGTTGTTCAGTCGTGTTCAACTCTTTGTGACCCCTTGGACTGTAGCTCACCAGACTCTTCTGTCCATGGGATTCTCTGGACAAGAATACTGGAGTGGGTTGCCATTTCCTTCTCCAGGGGATCTTCCTGACCCAGGGATCTAATCTGGGTCTCCTGCACTGCAGGCAGATTCTCTATCATCTGAGCCACCAGAGGTCAGTAACCAGCAATATAAACAGGATACAAATCATTTTCAGCACTCTAAAAAAAATTTCCCCATGCTATGCCCTTTTAATCATACCCTCTCTATACCCATAACCCCTGTTTTGCCTCCTACAGACTTATCTTTTGTGACTATCAAATAAATGAAGTCATACAGTATGTAATCTTTTAAGACCAGCTTCTTTTATTTAACATAATGCCTTGGAGAGTCATCCAAGTTGTCACATGTATCAAAAATCTGTTCCTTGTTACTATGAATAGTAACATTTTTGTTTATCCATTCAACCCATGGAAGACATTGGGTTGTTTTCAGTTTGGGGCTATTATGAATAGAACTGCTATAAACATTCATGTAAATTTCTATCTGGATAGATACCCAGGTGCAGAATTACTAGATCCAGAATAACTATTGTTAATGAGGTTTAAAGTAGGTAACACCTTGGCAATATACCTTCTATTGCCACATCAAATACAAGAAGAATGCTTAAGTAGTGGGTTGATAGAGCAAAACTTGGAAAGATAGCACACAAATCACTGAAATTATAGAAAAATATACTCAACTATTAGTTAGTACGTAGAACCTGTACAATACCTAGTGATTAGAGAAGGAGAGTAAGGGATTTGGCTGGCAGAAGGGGCTAGCCCTCCTGTGGCTCAGAGAGCACCTCCTTGATTGGGGTAAGCAGGAAGCATGGTGGCCCCAAACTCCATTCCTGAAAATAAATGTGGAATCATTATGTGGCTCTCACCATAGGTCAAGGCCCACAATTTACACACCCTAAGTCTGCCAAGTGTACTCCCAATGAGTTCCCAGGGTACCTAGTTATCTGCTATTCCATTCCAGATACATCAAATTTAAACTGATTTCTTTCTTTCTTTTTTTGTACCTCTATTCTGCTTTCAGCTAACTTCAGTCAACCAGAAATATTTTTAATTGCTAACCAAACAGAAAAGCCTAACATCATCAATTTGACCTGCTCATCTATGCAAGGTTACCCAGAACCTCAGGGGATGTATGTGAATCTAACAACTAAAAATTCAACTATCACCTATGATGCTGTCATGAAGAAATATCAAAATAATATCACAGAATTATACAATGTTTCTATCAGCGTGTCTTTTCCCATCCCTCCTGAAACAAATGTGAGCATCATCTGTGTCCTGCAACTTGAGCCAAGGAAGATAATTTTATCCCTACCTTGCAATATAGGTAAGCCTGCTTCCCCAGACTGTTCTTTTTATCAGGTATAATACACAGATGGGTAAGGCAGATCATCCAATGTCCCCTGCTTGCCAGGAAGCCTCCAACTGGGCCATTTTAGGATAATATAAGGAAGGACGTAGACAGACAGCTCCTGTTTCATCTGACTGTTACAAGGTACAGGAGGCTAAGAACCTATGGTGCATTTAAGGACGCATATTCTTATCTCTGATGCTGACCTGGTGTTTTGGGCTGCCTTTTGATAGAAGATTTTGAAGTTTAGGTCAGAAAATGCAGCATTTCTCCAGGCTAGAATTCTCTCATTCATTAAAACACACACACATGCATACATACATGTTATGAATACAGGACCATTCTAGACATTGTTGGTGGCAGAGGAGAAAACCAAAATGTATAAGACATACTCTCTGCTCTCAGGAACCTTCTTGTAGAACCAGAACCCCATGATGTACACACACGGTAAACTGGATTTAAAAAGACTGAATTGGAATCTAAATTATATCCTATGGAAATATACAACTAAATTTAAAAACAAGGGTGACTGACAATAAGATTTATAGGCATTCAGAGATAGGCAAGTTCCTAAAGGAAATGGGATCTTATATTACCGTAACAGAAATAACTGGGCTGAATAAGTGTGGTAAAGAGGTGACAGGTACTTGTAGTGGCTTCTGAAAATTCTGAAACAGCATCCAGACTTGGGTGGTTAGAGGGCCACAACCAATTAGTAGTACCTGCTGTGGGCACAGGTAGTGGTGGCCATCCGTACACATGTGTCAAGGAAACGCTCAGAAGCAGAAATGCTTGTGGCATGTTGATGGTGTAATGTGGGACCAGTCCCACCGGAGGAAAGGGGTGAAACTAAGCAGTGCCCACTAATAGGAGCCTGCGATCTTAAATTCCTGGCTTTGCCCTGGAATACGTTCCCATTTGAGACTCCACTTCTGAGGAGCGGTAACTGAAAAATTCTTCTGAAATAAAGGCAGTCTGCACCCACACTGCCTTCAACACAGCTTATTCCAATCCCAACCCTTCCCCCCACCCATCAGCCTTCTGCTTGCCTTGGCCCCCTCCTCCAGCTCTGGCCCCTTGGTTTGCCCCCTCCTAAGCATCCCTCCAGTTCCTTGCTCCATCCTCTGGCTTTGATGGCTCCCCTCTCCTGGTGTCTCATTGTTTAAATACAACTTGGCCTCCAGATGCATTCTTTTGTGTGTGTATATATATACATATATATATATGTATGTATGTATTTTAATTTTGGGTTGCACTTGGTCTTTGTTGATGCATGCAGGGGCATGGGCAGGGGCTCTTCCTTGCAGGGCAGGGGCTCTAGGCACATGGGCTTCAGTTGTGGCATGTGGCCCCTAGAGTGGGGACTCAGTAGTTATGGCACATGGGCTTAATTGCTCCGAGGCATGTGAAATCTTCCTGGACCAGGAATCAAACCCATGTTTCTTGTATTGGAGGGCGGATTCTTAACCACTGTACCCCTAGGGAAGTCCTCTTGCATGCATTCCTATGGACAGCCCCTGGGGCCCACCCCCACCAGTCAGCTTAGCTGTACCAGTAGGCCAGTCCTCTCTCCTGATGCTGATTTCCTTCTGATTACCTCTGACTCTTAACAGTTAAGTAAATGGCATGGTCACTCTACCTGTCCTGGTTGCTTCTACTATAGCCTCTCTTGGGCTGACAGAAGCCTCTCCCACACTGTCCTGAGATTTAGAAACTTCTTGAAGCTGCCACCATCACCACAGATGAAACACCCTGCAGATCTCTGCCATGACTCCCACAGGTACAGGGCCCTTCTATCACTACAGCCTCATCATGGCTCACCTTTCTGCTGCTTCTCAACTGCTACCAAAATATTCCTCACTGCCACCATATTCAGAAATGTTTCAGCTCCAGCTGCCTCAGTAAGATGGGGCTTGCCTCTCTGGGTCCCTATTCTCTGGCTAGATCAGAGATAGGTTAGGCCCCATATCAAGGAACATTTTTGGGGTATCTAAATGTGGCAGCCTCCATGACAACAAGTATTACCCTCCTCTACTGGGATGCCAGACAGGCTCAAGTGAGGTTAAACTGGGACAGACTCAAAAAGTATTGAATGTGACCTGCAGTGCCAACAACTCCTTTTCTTAAGGTCCCAGGAACCCAGTGTGTGTCCACAAACTGCCCCTAAGCTAATGGGAGGTCAACTGGTCCTAGTCTCCTGTTATTTGAGATTAACTACCAGACCTGTTCTCATAAATGTCTATAAAATGGGCCACTCACCTCTATTTCTCCCTCCCAAAGCCTATTTTACTAACTTCTTGGAAATTTAGGCATCCATGTACAAGGAAGTAAGTCCTAATTTCTCAGGAGCTGATTCTGACCCTGATTTCCTCAGGGCATGAAGAAATATCAAAGGTTTACCGTAGGTGGGACATATTGAAAGCTGTGTTGAGAAAGTCCACTGTGACATCAGGGGGACAAACAAATAAATGTGGAGACTGGAGGCCTGTGAGGCGGCTGCTGTGTTTGTCTGGGTGAGAAGTGTCTGGAGCCTGATACTCAGATGGTATTGGACAGAGGACTTATTCTAAGGGAAAATTCAGGACCGTGGAGGGGGTTGAGGAAGCAGGATGCTGCCCAGCTGTCTGTATCTTCAGAGCCTCAGTGTACATACATTGCCCAGATTCCACAACCAAGGGCCAAGTTGACCCTCTTCTAGATCATCAGGGTCATTGTCATCCCAGCCTCTGGTAAGGGAAGGCAAGACAGCTAGTCCAGGCAATGGATCAGAGTTTCTGGCTTGGTTCTTAGTCAGCTGCTGAGGCCCTAAGACTGGGATTCTCTTTGGCCAAAATCATGTGAGTTTCAGGCTCCTCTGGCAGTAGAGCCCTGAGGAGATGCTGGCTTGTAAAGAAAGAGAAGAGCAGTAATTATAAAACTTTTATAATCAACCTTCCTGGCTGATTGCAAACTTGGGTTCATTTCTAGATGCAAAGTCACCTGTGCCAAGCCCCCCTGTCCCAGACCACATCCTCTGGATTGCGGCTGTACTTGTAACAGTGGTCATTGTGTGTGGGATGGTGTTTCTAACACTAAAGAAAAGGAAGAAGCAGCAGCCTGGCCCCTCTAATGAATGTGGTGAGTCAGTGCTTGTCCTTTCTGCAGATTGCCACTTTGCAGCTGTTTCCTGAGCTGCCTTCTGGAGCTCCCTGGCTGAGCCCAGACCAGCAAAGAGTCAGCAAGTTTTTGGAGGAAAAGTTTCTCCCAGGGTCTGGAGCCCATATAGGTGGGAGTAAGAGCCAATAAGGTGGCTCTGGCTTTCCAGGAAAGGCAACGTTTCTAACCTAAGGTTTACAAATGTACTCCTCATTTCCAGACAAACCTAATTGTTTCTTGGTTTACCTACTTCATGAGGTCACTGTGAGAATTCAACAAAGTAAAAGGGCGAAAACTCTCCTAAACATTCATGATTATGGACCTGATGGTGTTCAAGCAAGGATGTTTGATGGGAGAAGGGGAGGATTATGTGACCGTAAGATTTTCCTTCTCATCTATTAAAAGTCTTGGTTTCCTAAGAAGTAAGTTAGATGAATTATGCCCCACTGACTTTAAACTATAATATTAATTCTTAATGATTACCAAGTATATCCATTACCACATACACTGAACATAAAAAATTTCTAAAGTTCCACTAGTAAGAAAAAAAATGATTATGCAGACAACATTTTAGTGTATATCTTCCAGATTTTTCTATGTATTAATCTGTTACTTTTCCACAAATGGGATAGTACTATGAGGACTGTTTTTCACAGTTTGGATAATGTAACATACTGTTCTCAAACTGTTTTATACTAAATGTAGGAAGAAAATTTTTAGTGCCACTAAGTATTATTCTGTAGCATCATTTAAAATGGCTCCAACATACTCCATTATGTGGATACACCTTAATTGATTTAACTAAGTCCTTTCTGTTGGACATTTGGGTTGCTCCTATAGGTTTTCTATTGCAAACAGCACTGCATTGAGTAGCCTCCTCATTGACTTCTGTTGTAAAAATGTCCTATGTTTAATGTGAGCAAAGTGGTCCCTGCCTTTATAAGAATTCCATGCCTGTTTGTGATTAAGGCTGGTTTGGATGATGTTGTAAGATAAAGTTGGACTTTATCTCACTAATTGCCTCCAGTAAAAGTTTGGTTGGTGCTAATAATTAAGGTACATCCTCCTCACTCATTTATGGTAAAAAGCACAAGATAAGTAATGCTTCTGGTCATCATCTTAAGATTTCAGGTACAGATTTTAAGAAAATAAATAGATGACATTAGTAGTCATTCATTTCATCCTGTTGTATTCCAAAAACAGTAAATTTGGAGGTGATAGTCCAATTTCAATACATTGACACAAAGCATATGGCAGAACCATTCAAACTGCCAAAGTACAGGGTGTACTGAGAGATTTCTGTGATATAAAAGTGTAAAATTCCCAGCACAGGGTCAGATTACAGATGTATCATGTTTGTCCAGGCTTTGACTTTTCAAAGCAAGAGTTTTTAACTTCTATTTCTCTCTCAATCTCATTGCCATTTAGATTTAGGTAAATGTGCAGATGCACCCTCTGCTTGGAAATAAGATGCTTCCTAAATTTGCTTTTGCAATGGAATGATTAGCTTATGCAGGCTTCCCAGACAGCTCAGTGGTAAAAATCCACCTGCCAGTGCAGAAGACACAGGAGATTCAAGTTCGATCCCTGGATCTGGAAGGTTCCCTGCCAGAGGAAATGTCCGAGAACAATCCCACAGAGGAGCCTGGCCAGCTACAGTCCATAAGATCACAAAGAGTTGGTCATGATTTAGTGACTGAGAACCCACACGCAATTAGCTTACAAATGAAACAAAGCAAAGGGATGAAAGAAAGGCAAGTAAAAATGTTTCTTCCCCTAATAAGCAGTCAGAAAAAATTCAGGAGACTAGATAAGGAAGTTAAAGGGGACGTGTCTGTACACATGAGAGTGTTGGAAGGATGTTCAAGAAGCTATCTGTTGCGTTTTAGATGGTCACGTTGAGATATGAGTGTTAAAAGGCAGAAAACCACAAGGGAGAGCATAATACATACACAAGCCTCTCAAGAATATGACAGAGAATACTGGTAGGAAACATCATTTGGTCAGATAGTCACCTGTGCCAGCAAATTTGGTCAAAGAGAATAGCCTTGATATCACTGGAGAAGGGAGAGGTACTAAGGAACCAGGCCACATGGATATGAGATGTCTGTAAAAGCGGGTTCTATAACTTTAGCGATGTCTGCACTTGCTTGTGGATACCCTTGGCATTGGCTATATGATAGGCAGAATAATGCCACCAACAAGATATCCATCTCATATACCCCAGAATCTATAATAAGTTATCCTACATGGAAAAGAGATTTTTCATATATGATTAGTATAAAATGATGGGATTATCCTGGATTAACCAGGTAGACCCAATCTAATCATGTGAATCAGAGAAGCTTTCCCATCTGGATTAGAAAGATAAAATGGAAGGAGAGAGCCAAAGCTTGAGACAAGCTCGGCCCACCATTGCTGCTCTTGAAGACAGAGGGAGGGGCCCTGAGCCAAGAAATGTGGATGGCCTCTAGAAACTGGAAACGGTCCTCAGCTGGCCATGAAAGTAAGCAAGGAAATGGGAATTTCAGTCCACAGGGGACAAAATTCTGCCAATAACTATGGAAACAGTCATGACCTATCCACAGAGAAACAAGCTTACTGATGAGTAGAAATTTCTCCAACAATGCAGCTTCCTCCTAATCCAATATTCCTTTTCTCAGGGTACACAACTCTCCAACTAACTAACTTGGTGTCAAAAGTCCTTTCCAGTGTTTGGTAATTCCAGTTTTTCTCTTCCTCAGCCATACATATTTACCATTTTTAGGTTGTTAAATGAATAAAAGGGAAAGGCCATGGTTGTTTTAGCTGGTTTCTTATCCCTCTTCTCTATTTTAATAGGGCAGTGAAGGCATGAGAAATTGCAACCTTCAATTGTCTTTTCCCAATCAGAAGTTACCCTGTCAGCTTACCTATTGGGGAGAAAGACTAAAATAGCTCCTCCTAAAGTTTTACTTCCTCATTTGTGTCTTGTGTGACTAAAATTTGTATTATAATAGTGCTTAGCAACCTCCAGTTTTTATAACTTGCCCCCCTCTACCAAATCTGGGACAGTCTCAGCTCTTTCAAGAATGATTTCTTAAAGGACAAATGATTTCTTAGTTTCCAAAATAAATCATTTTTAACCATTTAAACAGAAACTTTCACAGGGCTTAAAAAATGAAACCAGGAGACCTCATCATATCTATCCTTCAAAATGCTAAATTTGAAATCAAATCCAAAAGTTTAGAATCCATCTTCTTATTGCTGCTTACATTTTAAAACAAGCCTTTTAAAAAATGGTGGTGATTTTGTCATGAGTATGAAAGGATAATATAATTATTTGTGTTAGTGTACAGATATCCTGAAGTACTACATTCACCTATAAGCACTATTATTTTTAAGAGAAACTTTGACAAAAATAGAACCTAACTAGATTTATAAAGTGTCTGGAATATCAGTCAAATAAGAAATAACTGAGAATGCTCAGCCAGGACAAAAAGCCTTAAGGAATACACAAGTGCTGCCTTTAAATATCAGAAAACTGCCATAGGGTGCAAGATCATACTTAACTGAAGCTCTAAAGGACATCTTAATGACAAAGGTTATAAGAAGGTAGGAGGAAATAAGAGGTTTTTCTAACAATTAAAGCTCTTTTAAAATTATATAGAAGACATGACTTCTCTTTCCTCCCATGAAGGATTAACTGCTATAGAAATTGCCCTCCTGCAGTAAACAACTAGAATCAGACAAAATAGATATGACAGCTGTTTTCAGACTTTGGACAACAGGCTACAGAAAACTGCAGTCCCTAAGAGAAGGGAAAAGATGAGGTGAGCCCTGTGACTGTCCACAACTTACTGGATGGAGTCAGTTTCTAGGCTGCTCTGAAGGCAGGGGGAGCCCTAATACCAAACAAAACTAGAAAAAGGCATTACAAGACAAGAAAACCACATATGGCCCTTGTGAACATAGATGCCAAAATGCTCAACAAAATTAGCAAATGAAATTTAGCAATGTATTAAAATATTAGACAACATGATTAAGTGGGATTTATTCTAATAATATACAGCAAGTTCAACATCCAAATAGCAAGCAATAAAATTCAACATATGGAAGAACTAAAAAGAGAAATCAAGGGGATACCTACCAAATATGTGTCAATAGATACAGAAAAAAGCATTTGGGAAAATTAATACACATCATAATTTTTAAAAAGAAAGATAAACTCCCATAAAAGTAGGAATACTCTTGAATTGAATTTAAAGGACATCTACCAAAATCTTTTGTTAGCATTATATTTAATGATAAGAGACTGCTTTCACCTAAGATTAGGAACAAGGCAAGTGTGTCACTCTCCCTGCTTTTGTTCAACGTTGTGCTGAAGTCCTAGCCAGTGCTACAAATCTAGAAAAAGAAATAAAAGGCATACATATTGCAAAGAAAGAGGTAAAACTGCCTTGTTTTGGCAGGTAAGATGAGTATGTTTATAGAAAAGCCTAAGGAATCCATTAAAAGCTATTAGAACTGATTGAGTGTAGCTAAGTCACAGGATACAAGGTCAATACACAAAATCAATCGTTTTTCTATATACTAACAACAAACAATTGTACATTGAAATTTTTAATACCAATTAAGGTAGTATCAAATAATCTTAAAGGCTTTGGAATAAATTTTAAAAAGAACAAGTACAAGATACCTATATATATATATATATAGTGAAAACTAAAAAACATTACTGCTGACAGAAATCAAAGTAGATCTAAATAAATGGAGAATTATGCAATGCTCATGGTTTAGAAGACTAGCTATTAAGATAAAATCTTCTCAAATTGATATTTGATTTCAATGCAATATCAAAATCCTGGCAGACTCTTTAGTAGAAATTAAAAAACTTATTCTAAAAGTTATATGGAAATGCAAAGGATCTACAATTGCCAAAATAATTATGAAACGTCAGAACAAAGATGGAAGACTTATACTACCTAATTTCAAGATTTGTTTTACACCTACAGGAGTCAAGATGGTGTGACATTTGATGAAAGGACAGGCAAATCAACCAATGGAACAAAATAGAAGGTCAAAAAATAAACTCACATGATTTTGTCAACTGATTTTGACAAAAGTGCCAAGTTAACTCCAAGCTGAAAGGATAGTTTTTTCAATAATTGTATTGGGTCAGTTAGGTTTCCAAATGGTAGACAGTGGACCTGGACACCCAAAAAATATCTCAAAGTGGATTATAAACCTAAAATAAGAGATACAATTAAAGAACTTTTGAAAGAAAACAGAAGAATTTTGTGATTTTAGATTAGGCAAATCTTAGGACACAGTAAGCACAAATCGTATTATAAAAAGATAAGATTAGTAAACTGAACTTCATCAAAATTAAAAATTTTGCCCTTTGACTTTACTAAGAAAATGAAAAGTCAAGTCACAGACTATGACAAAATGCTTGCAAAATATACATATAATAAAGAACTTATAGGCAGAATATATAATTATGTGATGCTATTCAATAAGAAGATAATTCATATAACAAAAGTCACAAAGCAAAAGATTTGAAAAAATACTTAACATGAAAAGATACACAAGTGGCCAATAAACAACAGTCACACAGTCATGTCATTAGTCATTGGGGAAACACAAATTCAAACCATAATGAGCTACCACCATACACCCACTAACATGGCTAAAATTTGAAAGACTGGTAAATATCAAATGTTGGAGAGGATATGAAGCAAATGAAATTCTCATGTTCCTCTATACAACCCAGCAATCCTAGGTAGTTATCTATGAGAAACAAAGACATATGTCTACACAGAAACACACACACACACACACACACAAGTGTCCATAGCAGCTTTCTTCATAATACTGAAAACCTGACATGCTGAATTTTTACAGTTGGTGAATGGATAAACAAATGGTGGCATATACATACAAGGAAATATCTCTGAGCTATAAAAAGGAATGGGCTACTGCTAACATGAAACAGCATGAATAAATTTCAAAAATATTATGCTATGTGAAAGATACTTGGCACGAAAAGACTACACAATATATGATCATATTTACACGAAATCCTAGAATAAAGCAAAACCGTTGTGGCATTAAGCAGATCAGTGGTTAGAGGGGATGGGTGGGAGAAAGAAATTGATTGAAAAGGGCCAGAGGGCACTCTTTGTGCTTATATAAATGTTCTATATCTTGGTTATAGTGGTAGTTACGTGACTGCATACATTTGTTACACTCAGCAAAATCTGTATGGAAAATGATTGGATTTTACTGAGTATTTTATCTCAATAAAGCTGATTATTTTCAGACACATACACATAAACAGAACCGCTAAAGACAGGAAGTGTTCAAAACCATCAGTATTGTTGAAAGGACTGCTGTGGTCTCTAAACTCCTCCATGGACCCTGGGTTAACAACCCCTGCTGTAAGGCTGTCAGTGGGATAATAGCACCATCACAGCTGTCAACCCAGAGAAATTTTCTTCCTAAGTTGCATCAGTAGTAAGTCCATGCCAGTAGTAACTCAGGCGTTTGGAGGTCTAGCTTGCTAGAGATTTCCCACTTGATCCTGTCCATACAATATTGTGTATTATTTAGTAGCACCAGTTGGATAACCCAGTAGGGAGTCAACATATTCAATATTTCCTTTTCCGCCTCCTTCCAAACCTTACTTTCAGAAAAGGACTGGAAACTTTTTTCCCCATCATTAAATGTTTGCTAAAACTATATGTGGTACACCTCTCAGTAGCATTTTTATTTTAGTAAAGAATAGAGCTATAAGTAAAACCTATCCCCAGTGTTAGAACTTAAGGCACAATGAGCAAAAGAAGGCATTTACTTTTGGGATGAAAGAAGCTCCTTCTCAGTCCCCATGAAATTTCATCAAGGAACCATCTATTCCATATATATGGCAACAATTTTCTCTGGGTCCTAGGACTTAGGAGCCTCTTCAAACTTTCCCTCTTATAGTATCTATGGGAAATACGTTTTCTGAAGTTGTTTTTGTCTCTTTAAGAAATCATCAAAGTGGAGGGGAAAGAGAATGAACAGACTGAGAAAAGGTGAGTTCTGACCCTACAACATTATTGAAAGAGGTACAATCCCCAGAGTCTATAATTTAACTAGGCTTGGTATGAGGCATGCTGGGACCTCAGCATATTTGGAGAGGAAAAGGAAAGTGAGACTGGTTTGGACTTGGAGAAAAACATCATGGCTATAAATGGATGGCAGTATGCCCTGTGCACAGTGCCCAAGGGTCATGGCAAGCTCAGTCGTCCTCAAGGGAAAAAAATACCAAAAGGGTCTGATGTGATGAGCATAGACTGCATCTTATTCACCATGGCAACCCCAGTACCTAGCACAATGCCTGGACCAGTGGGTGTCCTACATTTGTGGAATGAATAAATACATAAGTGAGAAGTGATAATAGGTACCCTTTAGCCTCAATGTCTTTGCATCTGCTGTGCCCTCTGCTTGGAATGTTCTTTGCCACTTCTATACCTCATTCTTCAGATCTTGACTTAAGCTGCACTTTCTAAAAAACCCTTCCCAAACTAGATTATGTCATCCTGATATAGTATCTTATGGATTCCTGTGCCTTTTCTTTATAGCACCAGGTTACACTTATATATTGGTATAAGGTGAAACTCTATAAACTTAACCAAATTAAACTCTACAGAGGGCAGGGAATGTATCAGTGAAGGTCATCACTGTGCTGCCAGAACCTAGCAAAGTGTCTGGCATATAGTATAGTAGGTACTCAATAATTTTTTTAAACTGTGAAATTGAAACAGCAAATATGCTTGAATCTATAGAAAGTAGCTTTTTAATAATACTAACAGTTTTCAGTAGTTGTAATTTTCATGGTGAAAATTCATTGGAAGATGATGAGATTTATTTATAGAATTTACAATCTAATGGTTTGACGAGTATATAAAATGTTGAAAGGATTTTTGTGGAAAAATAAACATTGTTCATCGGAGTTTTAGTCTCTCTTACGTTTGCTTTCAGCTGAGCAACAATTTTTTGTTTGACTTGTATTTATTTTTCACTTATTTAGCTTTCTTTGTAGATACTTTACCTAATCAAATCCAAACAAGAACAGCACTTAAGTAACCCTAAATATGGCATAGGGAGAAATGTGTATATCCTTTCCTTTGCATTATCTTTTGTTCACATATGAGGGCTATGGAATGCAGAATTTGGTGAAGTAATTTTTTTCTTTTTTAAGGGGTTCAAGTTTTCAGTTTTTTTATGTAATTTATTTAAACAAAAAAAAAAGTTAGTTTGTTTTAGTTTAAATAAACCATTTCTCCCACCTCCCTACCCCAACCCCAGCTCTAGCAGCCATCAGTCTGTTCTCTGTATCTGAGAGCTTGATTTTTTTGATTATTTATTTTTTTTACTTTTAAATTCCAACATATAAGTGAAATAATACAGTATTTGTCTTTCTCTGTGTGATTTATTTCACTTAGCATGATACCCTCACGGTCCATCCATGTTTGTCACAAATAGCAAGATTTCATTCCTTTTTTGTGGCTGAGTAATAGTCTACTGTGTGTGTGTGTGTGTGTGTGTGTGTGTATAAGTGACAATTTCTTTATCCATCATCAGTGAACATTTAGGTTGTTTCCATATCTTGGTTATTAAAATAGATATTTCTTGAAAGAATGGATGGATGCATGGAGGAATACACAAAGATTCCTGCCAATCCACCTTTTCACACAATGAGGTAGTCAGATTATACCTCCACACACCATGAGAAACTGGGCTGTCAAGAATATTGAGGCACTAGTCACACAGTCATGAAGTCAAAGCAACCCTAAGTCAAAAAAAGACACAGTCATGACCCCAGCATACATTGCTTCCAGTGTGCCCTGCACTCACCTGGATATACCAGATACTGAGTCTCAGAATCCTGGATGGAGCCCAGGTGCTACGCTCCCTTGTCAAAGCCAGCTCAGAAAAGGTCTGAAAGAGCCTACAGAGGGAAGGCACCAGGGAATCAGCATCTGGCAGTGGCAGGCCCAGACAAAAGTCAGACAGAGTAAATAGGAAGCATGGATGGCACATCTCTTCAATTGTTTATTTCTCTTCATTGCTATTGCAATGCCATTGCTCATTCCTATGTTATATTCCATTGCTGAAGGCTAGAAAAAGAAAGTAGCTCTGTGAAAAAGAATACTGTGGCTCTAGAAAGTGGCTCTAGAAAAATAATACTGTGAAATCTCACCAAATTCTTTTCTCTATTTTTCCAGAGTAGAACTCCAAGAACCTGACAGATCTGATGAAGTCCAATGTGCTGTTAACATTTCAAAGACAGCCTCAGGCAACAAAAGTGCTACAGATTTTTAATTAAAGAGTAAATGCCATATAACTATCTGTTTTTATATGCTTTCCTTGTCAAGTTTTGACTGACCTTTTCTTGTCTCTCTAAACCTTCTCAGAAGGCAAGAAAATATTACTATTAATATTAGCAGGGGGCTTCAGAATTCCCTCCAAGTAAAATAGCCTCGTACCATGCCAGCTCTGCTCTCATTGACAGGAGCAGATTTTAACTGTTTCTTTTCATTTCAGAACACACTTAAGAGTCAAGCCCATCTAACTGATTCCTGGCTCAGGAATCATGTGTGAGATTAACAACTCATGTTTCAGATTTGGTCTCTTTTCTTAATTTTATAAATAATGTTTTACATAGAACTCCCAATTCCTGGAATCATGGCTTTTATCTACTCTGAATCTCAGATAGCACCTCATTCCATCTTGTATACCTGTGACTGAACAACTACCTTTTCAGTCTGGGTGGGAGTTATGTATTTTATGGCCTTATAATGTTTTGAAGTATAGAGAAATATGTACTATAATAATGTAATTACTGAGAAAAGTCCACACTCTGCTAAGGAGTTCTAGTCCCTCTGTGAGGGTCAGTAAGGAAAATGATGGTCCAACGTGCTGACAGCAATGAGCAGACCAACTCAAAATCTGGGAAATTAGGGAGACAGAGAAGGAACCAGTTCTGTAGCCATTACCATCAGGGCTGATGCTAATATTAAGGAGGATCCACCTGCCCAAGAAGCTACTGCTGAGCCTTAGCAAAGACTGTTGGATAAAGCTGAAGAATGCTGTGCATAATAAACTCTGCTTCTCTTCTTGGGGGAAAAAAAAATGAGACAGCGGCCTGGGGCAACTGTGAGAGAGCCAATAGAGAGATCACAATACTCAAAATAGGAAAAAAAAAAATGAAAGCTCTTGACCAATAGAAATGCAAATGAATGCTCAGTGTGTGCAGTTCTTCAACAAGCCCCGGGAAGAACAACAGATGGACAGTTATCCAAATGGACCTAAGGCCGACAGCAGTTTCCTTGGAGGTTGGGAGGGGTTTTGATGATAGCCAGGTTGTTGTAATGTTTCACCAGAGCTGGGGAGGGAGAGCTATCATCTTAATAATGGGGTGATGGAAGGAGGCCTAGGTCTCTTTCAATGAATGACTGCGAGTGAAGGAGTTGAAACGGAATTAAGAGGACCAAAATGCACATTGCCCAGAGGCTGACTAAGCCCATACCAGCTGTCCCAGAGCAGGGCTCTGGGGACTGTCTATGTGACATCTCTCAACAACCGGAAAACTGGGCACAGGAGAGGAATATAGTAGCCCAGTAGAAATGAGTTAGGACCCTGGCTCTAAGACAGCATCATTAATGGATGGAGAAGCCTCAGTCCAAACCTAAAGAGAACTCTGGGAGGCCCACGCTACAGAAAGTAGTTCTCATTCTACACTTTGTTGTTGCTGTTCAGCTGCTCAGTCATGGCGTGTTTATTTTACATAAAGGACCCTGAAGGGTTGTAGATGGCTGCGCCAGCCATGCGTGAACCTGTAATAGTTACAGTTGTGTTCTCTGCCCTGCCCTCGCCTTCATTAGGCTCTAAGCATCTTCATTAGACTCTAACATGTTGTGTGTGTGTGTGTGTGTGCGCTTTAACTTTTTAGTTTATATTGGAAGATAGCTGATTATGTTGTGGTGTTTTTGCGTGTACAGTAAAGTAGTTCAGTTACACATACATATGTATCTAGTCTCAATAAATTTCTATTAGAATGATGTGTGCTAAGTCGCTTCAGTCATGTCTGACTCTTTGCGACGCTATGGACTGTAACCCTCCAGGCTCCTCTGTCCACGGGATTCTCCAGTCAAGAATACTGGAATGGGTTTCCATGCTCTCCTTCAAAGGATCTTCCTAACTCAGGGATCAAACCCCTGTCTCAGACATCTCCTGCATTGGCAGGCGGGTTTTTTACCCCCAGCACCACCTGGGAAGCCCATTAAAATGATGTAAAAGTCTAAATTTTCTACTTCAGCAATACTTACAGTCTGACATCACTCCCTCTATCCTCCTAAGTTATGTCTTTCCTCTTGATAGTGCTAAGATAGCCCCAGTCTCCAGTCACCTAGCTAAAAGCCCCGACTTACTCCAAACACTTTCCTCTTCCCTTTCCTTTAACCATTGGATAAGTAAGGGTGTCTTACATGATTCTATGTTTATCTAGGTACTGAGATATAAGGGGTGTTGTTTCTCAGGGTAACCAGGAAATCTGAAGTTAAGGAAGGGATACTTGCCTTTCAGTTTGTAATGTTTTATACCATGTAATGTGTGACTGTATGTACATTAAACAAAAGCTTAGTGTAAAAATGTATTCCTTGAAAATACTTTGATTATAAAATAAATGCATATAACTGTATTGTATATTTGAAAGTTGCTGAGAGTACATCTTAAAAGTTCTTATCACAAGAAGAAAATTTTGTAACTATGTGTGGTGATGAATGTTAAATTGTTGAGGTGATCTCTTAATAAATACTATGTCAAATTGTTATGTTGTACACATAAAGTGAATACAGTGTTATATGACAATTATATTCCAATTAGAAATAAATACATGGCATATGAGAAGAGCTAGGGAAATTGTGTAAAAAAGAAAACTATCCAGGCTGTATGAGGGCATGGATGTGTCTAATTTCTTCACCAGTGAATAAGATAGTACCTAAGATAGGCACCTAAGATAGTACCTCAAAATCATTTGTATAAGGACTGAACAGAACATTAGCATACCCTCTGGTGAAAACATCTCCTCTTGTGTATTAAATTGTCTAGGCCTTCCGTGTTCCAAGTCTGGGAGAAAGAACCCCAAGTAAGGTGAAAAGTGATCATGAGGTGTAATAACAGTACTAGCTATTATTACTGGTGTTTATTCTGTACCAAGCACTCTTATAAACCTTTACACTCACTATCCCATTTAATCCTCACAACAACGCTATGATGAAGGTATTGGGCTCTTTTGCCCATTTTGCTGATGAGGAAACATAGGCAAGGAGAGGTGAAAGTGATTTACCCAAGGTCATTAACTTAGTGAGTGACAGAGCTGGGGAAAATTTTGTGAATCGTGGCCCCTTCCACCCTTCTATTTCCCAGCCTTGTGTTTTCTGGCCAGGGGACAGGCAGCATTTTGGTTGATTGCCAGTTGAGTGTCCACGCTCCATCTTACACTACACTACCTCAGCCTTCCAAAGGTGGTGCCTCCAAAAGACCGATCACTGAATTTTCCAGGAGCCATTCCATCATCTTATAAGTCCAGAATATGTGGGTGATAAGGCACATGACATGACAAATGCATGATTAGAGAAAATATGAGCTACTGTTGCTGACTCTAATTCCTCTCCCACCATCCCTGTCACTTATTACTCTTTTGCAATCCACCCTCCTCTGCCATTCTGAAGCCAGTTTTGTCTACTCAGTGTCCCCATGTTTGTGAACCCAGACTAGAAAGCAAGGAGTCATCTCTGACCACTGCCCTCTGGCCTTTCTCTTGGCACCCACTGCCCACTCCCACCCACCTGTCACATCTGGTCATCACCAGGCCAGGCAAAGATTCCTCCAGCTTTAGCATCCACCCCCTCTTTTCTCATTCAAGCTCTTATTTCCTCATCCTGAGAACATGACAATCACCAATAAAATAATCCCAGTCTATTGTCTCTTACCCTACATTTTGTCCAAACATCAAAAGGAACAAGGCAATAAGTAGGAAGGTCTCCCTCACATTCCTTTTCCTTAGCCACATGAAGACAGCTCTGATCTCCAGCTTCTTATGCATCTTTCCATTGATACACTATGCTTATATATAAGTGTGTGTGTCAGTGTTTAGTATGAATATACATATACACACATATGTAATATGTATATACATATACATACATACTTTACATACAAATAAATACTAAATGAATGACCTTGAGTAAATCATTTGACATCTCTGTGCCTATGTTTCCTCATTAGCAAAATGGCATAATAGTAGGAGGACTTCACTGGGAAACCATCTTTAGGTCTTTCCTGTTGGGCTGGTATCTTTCCAATATCTTGCCTGAAAGACGGAAGCTTCTCTGCCAGAATTTTGGGAGAAAAGTGAGAGAAGAGAGGGATATGTGCACATGTGACTGTGTATGTGCTAGTGGTGGGATATCTGCAATCTTTATTCAGTCTGTGTAAATTTACTTTGTCCATATGTTTTCAGTATGGTAACACCATTCTCAAATGTGTGAGATATCTTTTTTTCAAACACCTTCTGCTTTTCCATCTCCAGCTAACAAGACTCCAGATTTCTGCCAGGGTGGGAGAGGAAAGTTGCCCAGTAGTGCAGAGGGGGAAAAGAGAGCTCAGCTTCTCACGTAACTTTTACCCAGTCTTCCTTGTTTTGTCCCTCACCCTCATCCTCAATTGGTTCCCAGTCTTGCTGTTTCCTGAGGCTTTTGATAACCCTAGGGTATAAATTGGGTTGTTTCTTGATTTCCACACTGACAGGAAAGATTTGGCTATCCTTCCTTGCTAAGTTAGTTACCAGGCATCTCTCTATTTTTCAGATTCCAAACTGTTGTCTCCTTTCATATTCTTGTACTTGAAATTTAAAAACAGGGACTTCCCTGGTGGTCCAAAGGTTAAGAATCCACCTGCCAATGCAAGGGACATGGGTTCGATCTCTGGTCTGGGAAGATCCCACATGCCACAGGACAACTAAACCTGTGCGCCACAACTATTGAACCTGTGCTCTAGAGCCCAGGAGCCCCAACTACTGAGCCTACATTCTAGAGCCTGTGCTCTGCAACAAGGGAAGCCACCACATTGAGAAGCCCGCTCACCACAACTACAGTAGCCCCTGTTCACTACAACTAGAGAAAGCCCATGCACAGCAACAAAGATGCAGTACAGTCAAAATAAATAAATATAAATTTTTTAAAAGAAATTTAAAATAAATTTTTTTAGTTTTAGTAGAATTTCAGGAGGCAATGGAATTAGATGTGTATATTTAATTTACC